GCGCTTCGACTGTAAACGAGAATTTTGACATACCCCCCCCCCCACACACACACCAACCAAATAAGCTGGTACGCCTATGTGTGATGTTACTAGACAATATAAGTTAACAAATATGAAATGTCAGAGATGAGCTAATATATCATTCTTAAACTTGAGTGACATTTTTGTCAATTACATATCTTGTTTTTTTCTCCATTTTTTTTAAATTCTATTTATTTTTTTTAAAGATCGTATAGTGTATATGTATAGGATAGCTTGTTTATCTTACATTGTAACTAAACACCAAGTACATGTATATAAACTGTAAAGTGAATGTGTAACTTAAGTTTGGTAACTCAACTGTGACGTAAATGTATCATGTATTATATGTTGCACTGTTGACATATCAGAATTAAATAAGATTATCGCCCTTTGTAAAGATAGACTCCGGCAATATATTGCTTTTGTAGAATTATTTTTTCATCTGTCAACGACAATACGTTGACTGTGTCTATATTCAATTAAACAGTCTATAATATGGTAGAATTAAAACGCTATGCGTTGTGTGTTCCTAAACCGCCAATCTACAGTGACAATCACGATCATATATTTTTCAATTTTGAACTTCAAGGGACACAGAGTACACAACGCTTTCTATGGGTGAATGTGAGACATTAAGACCGGATTAAGCTCAATATCAGTGTTAACGACGGTAAGATTTGGCCACAATAAAGAGGACCAGCTTTCACCTTCCAACGCCTTTTCATTGACACTGCCTAAAATACAGGCAGCAAATAAATACGAACATGAATATATTTCTATACTCGTGAATGTTGTATTGTTGTGGAATGACTCCCACCATTGTACTGTATATTCTATAGGTTGAATACACCTAGTAATGTCCGATTGTCATTCATATTCTGTGTCTATTGACTGCCTTCAAATTTATGATTAGACGAAGCACATAAATTATCACTAATCGCAACTCGACTGATGACCCAAACTCATTGAAATGACGTTAAAGGTCTCAATCTGTCATCAAAAAATGATGTACAGCCGTGCCAGCCAATGTCTTGACACAAGCCCTGATTTTAACACCTTGATTTTGCTCTGAAGTCTGAACGACGAAAATCAATTAAGCGCAAATCGTTATGGCCCATTTTATGTGCCTAATTCCGGTACTAAAATTAGAATAATCAAACTTTTCATGGATCTAAGGTAATAGAAAATTGATCAAAGAAGTTCCTTAAGAGGAATATTATAGTTTGAAAATAAAATCAGCATAAAAAGCAGCGTTGTGGGATAATAACACGTAACTCATAAAAACTTTACCGTTATAATTTAATCTTAAACGATTTTTGACGGATAGTCATGACTGATTTGCATGCGTTTGATGTTTGAACTGGGTTTTTTTTTTTTTTTTTTTTTAATTTTTTAATTTTTTAATGCAGTTAAGTAGACAATATATTTTACGTGAATCTCCTGAATTCAACTAAAATAATCACAGTGCACAACAATACTACTGAGTAAATACAACTGCTAGTTGAATGGATGAAACAGAACATAATGTAGATTTAAATCTTGGTTTAAATTATATTCGAGTTTTCTATGTAATAGCAGTATTACATAAGTTAAATGTTATTATGCAAATAGATAGCAGTAAAAATAACACCCAGTATAGTAATTTGTTAATATGACTTCCTCTAATGCAATTTATTTCATATAATTCATGTAATCAAAACGATTTAAACGAGTAATTTTCATCCGTTCCAGGTTAATATATATTTTAAATCGAGAAACGCATAAAACTGTCTGTATTATGTTATAAAGACTTAGTTAAACGTCTGCTTCCATAATACTGATATCGCAGACAAGGTTTGTGTGAAGCCGAAATTGGTTCCTGTATATTAGAGTATGATTTTGCAATCTTTCCATTTGTGGCCTTACACCTATGATTGGCTTAGTGGGAGTTAAAAGGCAAAATACTTTTTCTTTTTATTATTCGAGAGCCGCGATTGGGAGAATAAAGAGTTATTACGTAAGACCCATTAGCCACCTAAGGGAAAAGGAAAACATTCTGTGGCTACAATTATTCTCTGATTAGAAGAGCAATTACTGCCAGAGCGATAAATCGTTCGCATTCCCACTCTCGTATTGTCTAAATGTGCAAACTATAATCAACTTCGCCTCGTTACAAGCCTCGTAGACTTTCTGACACAAAATCACGTCATAATCTCACTCGAACGAGACCTGAAGTAAGAAAAATGGCGGATGATTGAAAAGCATCTGGTTTGATGAGGTGTTAATTAGCCCATCAGTGTTTGTAACAAAATATTTTAATGTTTTTGACAAACCGTGATAGGGTGTTTTATTATTCGACACCCTTTTGTTCTATTTATTTCTTTCGTTTCGTCTTACATATCCGCTATAAAATATTTTTCAACTGGATATCGTCTGTTTAAAACACCTATTCAGTAGCCTACATATTTGTGACGCTGAATAAAACAATAAAATAGTTTGTCGTATGTTAATGGTATTGTCACTTACATTTATTTTTGCGCAAGCACTGAAGCAAAAAAGAACACATTTTTATAACACCTTAATTCAACTTAAGATCTTTTGAATTACTATTGTGAAACTGACATAACTGACATGCATGTTCCTCTCGAGAAAAGAGACTAGTATTTAAATTATAAAAAAGTTTTAAAAATACAGAAAAGAAGACACGTTCGTGTTTTCCTCTGAATGTTGTATAGAAAGACAATTTTAAATTGGACAAACTAGTTTTAAAATATTATGAGAGAGGGGGGGGGGTAGTACAATCATTTCGGGAATAGCATGGTATATATTATTTCAATAAATCGGATGTGCGAAGCGGTCTGTAGCAGTGGGATGAAACCAGAGAATGAGAAAACGAAGGATTGAACTCACTATTTTGCATAGATGACTGACCTAGTGATCACACCCACAATCTCAACGTCGCATCAATTGTTTATAAAGCTCAAGGTAAAATTTATGCAATTCAAAATATGGCATATCCCCCTGTAGGGGTCACGGTGCCTAGGTGGGTAAGACGCTGGCGGTCGGGTGTTCGATCCCTGCACTGGCCGAGAGGTTCCTCCAGATTTACCATGGATAAGAGTTATTATTTTTGAGATTTAGATATGGTAACTTTTATTTCTATGGTTTACGTATACTATGCGATGTGTGTGGAGAGAGAGAGAGAGAGAGAGAGAGAGAGAGAGATATTAAAATACAGATCTATATTTCGTTGTTTTTTTTATACTTCCGACGGCCGCGAGAGGGGGTGGGGGGTGGCGTCAGTGGGCATACAAGCAGCTTTTGACACTATGACGTCAGACATTCGATTAACTAATCAGCGTTGATGATTCTAGTAGGATACCCACAGTTCCGTGCATCGCACGCCAAGAACTCGCTGCAACAGACCGTTTCATTGACTAATCCCTCACATCAACCATAACACGGATTATAAAACAACTCTTCGAGATCCAAGTGTAATAAAGGCAAGTAAAACGAAACTTTGAACTATAAAAAGCGAAACGAAAGAGAGAGAGAGAGAGAGAGAGAGAGAGAGAGAGAGAGAGAGATGAAAAACCTTATGATTCGCCCCACCCCACCCCCGGTGCAATATGGAGAATTATCCCCGGGCAGAGACATTTTCGTCTACTCTTTTTCGAATTCCAACTACCAACGGATCTTTTACATGTACCTTAATTGCTAGCGCGACCTTATTTTTTTTTTTACCCTTCGAAAGACTAAGCACACTTTCCATGTCAGCTTTGCAGACGCCATCTCTGAAGCTTGAAAATCGCGGTCTCGAAAGTTTGAGGTTCCTTCAAAAAGGGGTTACATGTGTATATTGTTTATAAAGTTATCAGTATCTATAGATACACAACTCCAATTAACACATATGATATTATCTACACAGCATCCAGTAACAAACATACGACACCCAATAACACATAAGATATAGCTACACGGCACCCAATAACACATAAGATAGTAGACAACCACACAGGAACAGACAACGTTTTCATCATTATACTTACACAATTCAAAAATATGATGAAAATATGCATGTTGTTGAAATCGATTTGAACACAAAGCCAATGAATAAAAAGTGTTTATTGATAAATAATGTCATAAAACAGCCCATATCTAACACATAAATATTAATATTCACATGTGTAACAAACAATAGTGTCGGCTTCAGGTTTTCGTTTCGCCAGTGAAATGAATGATTATATTGATATCTATCCGAGTGTATCTTTTTTTTTGTTTAAAAAAAAAATGATTCATAATGCGAATTAAATTAAATAAAAATGCTGTTAGTTGCACAGATGTGTCATATTTCATTAACCAATTATTTAAAACTAATTTGCTGTTTTGATCTCGATGCAAGAATTGTCCCATTAAGTTAATATTAAAATTTCATATTGGAACAGCCGCATAGGAATAAGTTTTACGTTTTCAATGCACGTATTTCGGTAATCGTTATGTGCACTGTGTGTTGCTAGATGGCACAACGGGCGTATTGCGTAAATTATTTTGCTTGCAGTTTTAATTGAAACGATACACTGATTTAATATCTATCCATTAATGAATGTGTAACATGGTTGGATTTATGCTGATTTAGGACGAAAAGTGATGTCCTTGATGTATTTTATATATTTACAACTTTACACATACTGACGCCATTTCTTCTATTTATTTTTCTTCTATTTTCACGCAATAACAAACAATTAAAGCTTCGTTTCAGGTCTACACATTATTTGTTGTATTATTTAAGCAACATGTGCTTGTCTGTTAACAAATGCATTGATTTCTGATGGGTAACATTGTCTGCCTGTGGGCGGTTACTTTACCGTGGAGCGACCGGTATCTCATTCACTGGCCCGCTGCGTGATTGACAGACTGACATTGCTCAGCGGTGTGTTCAAAGAGCTCATATGTCCCGCCCACCGACGGCCGGCTCACTGAACTTAGTGTTATAACTCCGACACACATATAGATCGCCCCAAAACGAGAAGTTGTCTCTCAAGTAACCGATGTCATGTGATTATTTACAGTTAAACACCTATACACAGGTTTTATTAAAAGCAGCAATCTCTTGGATTTACCTTTGGAAATTAATACGAGCCGATCACTAACACAAACTACAGACCACGTTACGGCGGAGAAATCCCCTTTGAACCCGTCTCGAGTGGCAATACAAGTCGACGATACAATCATTTCACAGCAGTGTTCACATGAAGCACTTGCTGAAACTAGTGAAAAAGTGAAAGGGATAACAGTGTACAGTGGTGAAACCCCTAATTGACTCACATGTGGGTCTCAGGGGCTGGTGCGATGGCCCGGCTCGTGGGCCTGACCCTCCTGCTATGGGGGACGGGCTCTTACGGACTATCGATGGACGGTCAACACCCGCCAAGGTGTGAACCTATTACTATACCTATGTGTAAAGATATGAAATATAACACAACACGAATGCCAAATCTTGTGGGACATGTGAATCAAAAAGATGCTGCCATACAGGTTCACGAGTTCCTACCTTTAGTTCAGATCGGGTGTTCACGCTTGTTAAAGTTTTTTCTGTGTTCTCTGTATGCACCGATGTGTACCGAACTTGTGGATGAGACAATCATTATACCAGCGTGTAAATCAATGTGTTTGGAAGTTAAGTCAAAGTGTGAACCCATACTACAGAGGTTTGACTTTCCGTGGCCTAACATTTTATCATGCGACAAGTTACCGGAAAAAAGTGACCCCAAGGATAAACTGTGCATGGAGGCACCGAATGTTACAGAAGAACCGGATTATAACGCAGGGACAAACTCTAATAAATGGGAGATTAACAAAGACTGGTGGAAATTTAACAATGAACTCAGTGATAGAGCCCCGACAACACCTTCTAGACCCAAAAAACACAAGAAGAAAAATGCGAAGAAATGTCCGGAGAGATTTGTCCACGTGGATACGATCCAGGGTAACAATTCCTGTGCTCCGAGGTGTGATATTGACGTTTATTTCCGAAAAGTTGATAAAAATTTCGCAGAAACGTGGATGATAGTTTGGGCTTCGCTGTGTTGTTTATCGACAACAATCACCGTTTTGACGTTTGTCATAGACACAACAAGATTCAAATATCCAGAGAGACCCATCATTTTTCTATCAATGTGCTATGCCATATACTCGGTTGCCTATATTATACGTGCAGTGACCGGTCCTCAAGTTATATCTTGTGATAAGGACAGTGAAGATAATAAGTTCCTGATACAAGAAGGCTTGGAGAGTACTTGGTGTATTATCGTTTTTCTCATTCTTTATTTCTTCGGAATGGCTAGTTCCATTTGGTGGGTTATTTTAACAGTGACGTGGTTTTTGGCAGCCGCCCGTAAATGGGGACAAGAAGCTATAGACGCCCTGAGTAGTTATTTTCACCTGGCGGCATGGGCTATTCCAGCTATCAAAACAATTATTATTCTAACGATGCGTCGAGTGGACGGCGATGAGCTGACAGGCCTGTGTTATGTGGGCAATCAGGACATTGGAGCATTAACTGGTTTTGTGTTAAGTCCTTTAATTGTATATTTATTTATCGGCTCCGTGTTTTTGTTATCGGGTTTCGCCGCTTTACTTCGTATTAGAAACGATTTGAAACAGGATGGTACCAACATCCGAAAACTTGAAAAACTTATGGCCAAAATTGGCATTTTTTCTGTGCTATATACAGTGCCTGCAACTTGTGTGATAGGGTGTTATTTTTATGAACGTATTAACCACGAAAAGTGGCGACATCAGGCCATGACTCGGCCATGTATTAATCAAGACGATTGTCACCTCGAGTATTCAGTACCTACCGTGGAGGTTTACATGCTAAAGATCTTTATGTCTCTTGTAGTGGGTATTACCAGTGGAATGTGGATATGGAGTTCTAAGACTGTCAGCTCCTGGAAACAATTCTTCTCTAATCGATTCTCGAGACGAAAATCTAATTATTCATCAGGCTATCAACAGGCGCCGGTCATCATGATGAAATCACAGCACGGACAAAAATATTTACAAAAAGTTGCAGGCTCCCGTGTGTGACAGTCGCTTTACTGAGAAAAGTGTCGTGTTTGTTTAACGCCCTAGTCCTTCTTAGCCCGATATTGAGTCGAGACTTAGCCGTTTACAAACCTAATGAAAACGGATACTCTGAATGGTAATAAATTCGGGTCAATAAGCGAGTTAGTTAAGTAGAGAGATTGGAAAGATTGATGTGGACTCGAGTGATGGTGATATGTATCAAATGATAGGACGAGCTTATTAGATGTAACAAGTATAAATTATACCACCTTACCCTATCTTTGGCATATTATCGTGCAGTGGCAACCATTCACCAAATTAGTGACAACAGTGCACACGATTCTCCCTAAGATATCGTATATTTTCTACCTGTGTAGGGTTATATCAATGTTAAATAAACCCAATAGAGCTTCAACAATATGATTGAAAAGTATTGAGGCGGAAGGTAAAGGGAGAGACTTTCTATATTGTGGTGTCTATCTCTCTAACTCTATAAGTCACAAATATTCAGGGATAATATTGAAAAACTTATCACCAGACTCGTGTTAAACAACTTTTCAAAAGGGGCAAATTGGGGGGAAATTTGAGTCTTGTTAATTTGACTTGGACTTGATACGCCCAATTGCCAGAGGAGATTTCTATTCTTTTTTTTTATATATTCTTTCATTTAAAAGGGTGCATTTTTGTTAAAGAGCCATTTGTTACTAAGAATGTATTCTCTGTTTATTTGAGAGTATTTGAGACAGCTACAGACATTGAACATGTGCTAGATATCGACTGAGATGTAGCTGGCAGTCGGAAGGTTTTTACTCGAGGTGTGAACTTTACTGTGTATCTCTGGGGAGCACATCACCGTTTGTTATAGAGAAATACCGCCCTTTTCTCTCTTGTTAAAATATTTCTTTATATATATGATATATATATATATATAATCTTGTTATATGCATCAGTCATATTGTATTTAATTACACCAGAAAATAACATTTTCTCACAAAACTATATTTGTTTTTATTTTTTCAAATATCTCTCCCTCTATATATATGAGCCCTATTTTTACCCGTTCTGCCTAAAATAGAAGAATCTTAAATGAGATCCATGTTTTGGTTTTATAAGACAATAGAGACCACTTTCGTTAAGCTTTCTAAAAAGATAATATATTGGGTCAAATAGGTTACAGTTATGTTCTTCTTACGACTTAATAAATAGATTTATTTGTTAGCATATAGAATAAACAATGGGTTGTACCAGTTTCGTCATTCATCTCTTAAATCAAACCAAAGGCCCTTAGAGACATGAAAAAGTTGCTATTGGCGCCCAAGCAGTCATTTCTTAGTTCATCGTTGCAGTTTGTTCATAAACACGCGATATGCTTCAGTTAACATGCAAATATTCAGCAGACGGTTTTCTTTGGAAAGAAACGGCATGGTACTTGGGAGGGCGATGTTAATTATTTAAAAAACACATCCAAGAGGAATTTATAATAAGCTTCATATTGCGTGTACAGATGAAATCATGTGACGCATCTTCTGTCGTTTTCCAATAGTCGAACTTAGAGTTTTAATGATAGTAGTTCGTGATCACAACATTGTAGTACCAAGATGTAGGTCCTAAACCATCACTTAAGTTGTGTATGAGGTACGGTATGCTTACACATTCTAGAACGCCTGATACCACCTCCCGACTTTTGGAAATTTTGTTTTCATATCTTTCTACTGAATACAAAGGTGTTAATAAGTAGCAAAATAGTAGGTCCATACGTCATGTACCATATATTTTAAATGAAAACATTGGTAAATATCATCTTTTTATATTTAAATGTCATCTAGCTGTTTTAATTAATATCGGAGATTTTACAAAGACGTGTTAAAATTCGTTATTGACAAAAAGCGGCTTCGAACAAAAGTGCACGACCATTGTTAGTTATTTCATAGGCTTAATAAACATCTGAGTAGTGTATTTGTAATTAAAAATTTACACGAACAACTTGAACGTTTTACATAGTGCAATTTCATAAACATTTTCCCTGGCGTTAAGTGTACTTACTGACTGATTGACCATAACGTGTTTATGAATATTAATAAGTCATGTTATATATTATGCTAACTAGTTATCTAAATGTAATATGCATTCTACATCATAATTTAATACCAACACATGAAAAATATTATTTTAAACATCTATTTTTTTAGGTAGTTCGTGGCTTCGAATTATTCTAGAGAATTTTGCCTGTAACCTTTGACACAATTCGTTAAAAAGGTCTTTGTTTGTAACCTTTGACACTATTGTCCCTTATTAGCAATTTATTAAAAGGGTCTTTGCTTGTAACCATTGACACAGTTGTTCCATAAAAACAATTCGTTAAAAACTGTCTTTTACTTGTAACCTTTGACGCAAGTGTTCCTTAGACACAATTCGTTATATATCTATTTTTTTAGGTAGTTCGCGGCTTCGAATTTTTCTAGAGAATTTTGCTTGTAACCTTTGACACAATTCGTTAAAAAGATATTTGCTTGTAACCCTTGACACAGTTGTTCCTTAAAAACAATTCGTTAAAAAGGTCTTTACTTGTAACCTTTGACGCTAGTGTACCTTTAAACACGATTCGTCAAAAAGGTCTATGGTTTAACGCTACATCAATTTCCGCTTAATTAAGTAAATAAATTTAAATATTATTGTCAACTGATCTACAGAAGAGTAAACATGACTTGATATTAAAAACATTCCAGAATAAGTTACATTTAAAGTTTAGATTGGTTTTTTTATTGATTTGACACGTATTTTAGACAAAAATTAATCTCTTCTCTGCCCATCCTTCATGATGATTTTTTTATATTCGGGCGTGCAAATTACAAAACTACGGTCTTGACTTTAAAATAGTATATAATTTTCACTTTTTATATTTATATGAACAATCTGGGTTATTGTATCTTTAACAAATAACTTACGATTTTTGATTTTTACATTTTTGTCGATTATATCCCAGAGGCACTGGGTCAATACAGATGTAAACAGATCTGTGAAATAAATATACTGATCGGTTCAGTTACATATTTGCACGTTGGCTGTAAAACTTCAACAACATATATCTAAACGGTTCATTTTATCAAATACAAAGCTTACTTTTTCTGATAATTTAAGAGAGATAAACTTGTAGTGTAGTGTTGTATGACGAATCTTACGTTAAACGCTAACGCTAGATCAATAGTAAGTATTAAGGTGTAGCGTGCAAGAAATAGGCTATAATCTAGAACGCCTGATTGAATAACGTCTCTCATTTTGGGACAGTTTGGGCTACTAAACCGTTAACCGTTAGGAGTATTAGAATTTATAAATAGTATATAAGCATAGCGTTTGGGGTATAAGTGCACATAACTCATCTTTGTTTATTAAAATCAAATTCCCAGTATTTGAAATTTTTATTAATAGAAATAATCCATCTTTATGTTTAATTAATTTAATACCCACAGGCAGCCCAGCCCACAAGCAAACTTAAATACTTTCCGATAAAAAAATAAAAACACATCACACACAAGTGACTGACAAGAGAACGGAATTTAACACGTTACTATATCATATTGTCGTTTTAACTGTAAAGTGAGAATTTATTCAACGTGTAGTAATATTATACTGAGTTATAACAGAAAATGGATACATATCATTAACATTTGACGATTTTTTTTATTCTTTTGTGAACAACGATCCACAATTTATACTCCCTTTGTATTAAGCCGACCTTTTGTGTAGTTTAATTAAGGTCTATATAATGTGTACACACATCACTGTATCCTTTGATATATTATTTGAATAAATGCTGTAATTTCAACATCAAACAGCCAATTTCAAGATATTAATAAATCATATAATATTGAACTAGGAAATGAGCAATTGTGATGCAGGATTAATTGATAAGCTTTGTGGCTTTCGTCACGTATTGTCATAATTAGTCCTAAAACATGGCTGTTTAAACTTTAAGGATATCAATTTCACCCTTTCCGTCCAATGTTATTAGAACGACCACATCAAAAGTTATTGATGTGAAATTTCACGTCACAGAAACCAAACCGCTTATATAACCGTTACACGATAATTGACTATGTCGATTAAGTTTAATATTTCATAACGATGTAATTACTTCATAATATGTACAATAATCGAACAGGAGTTAACAAAATATTCGTTTTTATCTTTTATATTCATTTTAAACTGAAATACGTGTACGTGTGTTTTCGAATTCATTTGGTGTGTACGAGGTAAGTTTACTTCTGGTGTGAGATTTCAATGGCGCTACATTACACTAAACAGAATAAGCTTCCTGGTATCCAATTTTTATTGAAAAGGCCTATTATAACTAAACGACCGTGTACATCTGTTTGCAATTTTACGTCATAGATAAAACGACTGTTGAGATATAACCGACCTTAATAAAAGAGGTACCAGACCCTTTATAGCTCATCCAGTGTACTGGGGGGAATTTTGCCTATGTTTACTCGTCATTAAATTCCAACCGCCAAGGGTTCTTTTACGTGCACATGAACCTCTGTTTTTCGTTTCACCCGAACGACTAGATCAGTCCCAAATAACTATTTTGGTCCAGCACAGAGAAGGAAACCGTCTTATTTTTCTAAACGAATGACGACATGCATACGTCGTGTAGTGTGATTCGAGGGAAATTTGGTCTACTTGTCATTCAATCCATCTGTCAAGGGTTTCTTTACGTGCATGTGGACCACGGATTTTCGTTTCTTGCGAACGACTAGACAAATCCAGAAGAACACTGAGATGGAACCCAGAACCCACCGAACCACCATGAACGGCATACTTAGATTATTCAATTAATCTTAGGACAATATAATAAAATCATGTTATTCATTTAAATAGGGAAATGAACTGCCCCCCCCCCCCTAATTCGACTCCGCCTATAACAAGCCCATGGCTGGTTTCCAGTTGTGGTCATGAAAGATTGATTCTGGTCACAAAATGAACTGTCTATACGAGAACAGAAGAGAGACGAGAGCGCGGGGCCATTAGACCCCGTTAGATGCAAAAAGCAAAACGACAAAACTCGTCAAAACTTTTAACAGAAACAATAATAATATAGAACCAAACTTTTAATAGAAACAATAATATAGAACCAAACTTTTAATAGAAACAATAATATAGAACCAAACTTTTAATAGAAACAATAATATAGAACCAAACTTTTAATAGAAACAATAATATAGAACCAAACTTTTAAACAGAGATAATAATAGAGAACCAAACTTTTAACAGAAACAATAATATAGAACCAAACTTTTAACAGAAACGATAATAATATAGAACCAAACTTTTAAACAGAGATAATAATAGAGAACCAAACTTTTAACAGAAACAATAATATAGAACCAAACTTTTAACAGAAACGATAATAATATAGAACCAAACTTTTAAACAGAGACAATAATAGAGAACCACACTTTTAACAGAAACAATAATATAGAACCAAACTTTTAACAGAAATTATAATATAGAACCAAACTTCTAACAGAAACGATAATATAGAACCAAACTTTTAACAGAATATAGAACCAAACTTTTAACAGAAACAATAATATAGAACCAAAGTAAAGCCAGGTTAGTGTTTTATATATGCTGTGATCTATATAGTATATATAGGTTCATAAAGTATGTAGACTAGAGAGAAATATATAATATATACAGAGCAGTATATTTCCACATAAATTGAGTGTTGCTGTCATCAAGTACAGATCGAAAGAGGAATGTGTTCCGGTTTTGCATTTACTAGTCGTTTAGAGTTCTCCATCATTGTCGTAAATCACAGCTTTATAGCTATATACTGCCTCTGTTGGTTAACTTATTAACCATACGTGCACTAGCTATCGACAATGGTAAAGCAGTTCAGCATAAAGACCAATGCACACTGTACGATTTTCGTCTGATTTATTTTGCATTTGACTTCGTCGCTTTATAGTTTATTCCACTCTATGTGTACCTCC